TGTGCTCCAGTTTCCAGAATTTTGTGATAAACAATGTAAATTCTTCTTAATTTGTGATAAGCAACGTAATTACTTTCTTTAATTTGTAATAAGGAATGTCAGTATCTTCGTAATTTGTGATAAGCAACGTGATTAGTTTCAAGTTACAGTAAGAGCTTTAGTGATTTTTATCGTTGACTAGAGAGAGGAAAGCGAACTCCGAGACATACAGGTAAGGTGGGAACTGAAATGCTAGGAGGAATCAGATAAAGTAGTGGATATCAAAACAAGCCAAGGCGACCATTCAAAAAGGTTGTTTGATAATACACTCCTATCATGTGCAGTGTATCGTGTTTCATTCTCTTCACATGTATTCGAAGCTGATTCGTAGCATGAAGGGGGGGGGGCGTCAGGTATAAAAGTTACTCGTAATCTTGCTATGGTATTTTAGCACCTCAGCGGTAAATAGAACCTTTGTCACTTATCACACATAAAAGAGTTTAGGAAAAAAGGAAAAAAAAGAAAGAAAACTCAACTAAAACAAAGTATAAAACCAATATCATATTTGTTAGAGGAAAGCAGAGATCTTCCTGTCCTCTACACCCATCTAAAATCACTCCTGTTCCTCTTCCCATGCACCCTTCATCCTCCTCTCTCCCTTTTGTTGATAAAGTTGATCCACCTGCCTCCTCCTTCAGCAACAACAGAGACGAGAGATAACACCACGAAGCACTGCATATGCATCAACAGGAACATGACAATCCAACCCTTCGGAAGATCACACCTTAATCCCTTGAGTACGGAAACCTAACTCACTCTCTGTACAGTTGAATCCTTTGCTTACGAAAACCTGACCTTCTGTGTACAATATAATCAAGCCCTTTGGTACGATAACTCAACCTCTTGTGTACAATATCATAATGCTCAAGGGAATAATTGATCATAGATAAAGGGTTAAATGTCATTGATAAGGAATTAGGTCATACTCAAGGGTGTAAATATAAAAGTGAATTAATTCATTGAACAAAGCGAGTCTAGAATAGCCATTGAATATTAACAAGATAATTAAACCCCTCAAATGATATTAGTACTGAAGATATTCCCTTAAAAATAGGGTCCTGTGAGAAGACGGACCAGCTTCTTCTAGATGAATGGTGTGGGGATGGTGTAGGATGGTAGCAGATCCCTTGTAGAGAAGGTCTTAAGTTCTGGTAAGATCACCCAGAGCCAAAATCTAAGCTCAAGCTGGGTTTAATTTGAGCTTCGTCGGGCTTAAGGTGGCGGCTCTGCTGATCCTGCCGGGGGAAAGGGATCAGTGCCGAGGAGGGTGAGTACCAGGTTGTGTGTGTGTGTGTGTGTGTGTGTGTGTGTGTGGGTGGGTGATCAGTTCTTGGTAGTGTGGGTGGACTGGGGAGACTACTGTTGATATATTGTGGTAGAGCGACACCAGACACACACACACAAAATAAAGGAAAACATCTTGACTCGTATAGATATGTCGTTTAGAATTTGATCCAGGATTGTAATCAGAATCATCGCTAGAAGTTCAGGTTTAAGGTATAGTTACATATGGGGGGAGTGTCTTGCAGGTGACACCTTAAAACTAATACTGGTTTAAATATAAAGTATACAGTTCAGGTACAGTAATTTCCAAATAGTTACAGCATCATAAATTGTGCCTTATTTTAGATACCACGTGATCATAGAATACATAAATTAAAAAAACCAAAATACTATAAATTTATAAGCTGTATAATAGTAAAAATCCACCAATACAAATAATATACAGGTAACTGATTAAAAATAGAGAAATAAGAAAAAATGCACCATAAAGGAATAAGATTTATATTATACAAAGACATAAATAATAAAGTAATATTACCAAGTCTCTTTTTATCTTTGCATTAAAAAGAAAAAAAAATGACCTCTACTGTATTTCGTAAACAAATAATTAGATATTACTGATTTTTTAACATTTGAGTCAATGTTTGTGAGTTAATGTTTGTGTATCACGCTTATGAGTCACGTTTATGAGTCAATAATGATGTAACTGAATCAAGTACTGATCAGGAATAATCTTATCGTTTTTAAGCTGTTGAACATGTTAAGCTCTTGATTATTTAAAGCTGTTGATTACTTTAAGCTGTTGATTTTTGTAAGCTGTTGATTATTTTAAGCTGATAGGTCGACGTGCTGGAGTATTATCAGTCCTGCTGCTACGGAAACAACAGTTATACCATGTACTCAACTGGTTAAGGGAGCCATTAGCACTGGGGCTTATTACAACAGGGCCCCACTAGGATTGAGTCCTATTAGATCTGGGGCCCATTAGAACTGGGGCCTATCAGATCTGGGGCTTATTAGGGCTGGGGCCTATTAAAACTGTGGTCCATATGATTGAGGCCTTCTATAACTGGGGCTAATTAGAACTATGACCCATTAAAACTTGAGCCTATTAGAACTGGAACTCATTAGAACTGGGGCTTATTAGGACCAGGATTCATCTGACTAATCACTTTTATCCCGAGCAGTAAAATACAAAGAACAAAATGACGCCATAATAGTTGGGGGAACAGATCACTTCTCAAAACAGTCGCCGGGTCATGAGTCATCGAGTGTAGTGTAGGAAACGTTTTGTAGGTCAGTAGTCGAGTTTATTCTTCACACACACACACACACACACACACACACCTTCAATCAGTGTCACTTATTCACTCCCATTACTTTATTGCATCAGACGTATTCTACCATGGTAACCCCCCTCCGACAACAAGGTTCGCAATATTCATCTGATTCACCCGTTGTCGCTTCACCGCCCCAGCGTCAGTCATCGTCTTGCGGCACGTACACGGGACAAATCAACGCTGCGATAATTATGGCGAGCCTGAGGTGGTGGTTGTGGTGGTGGGCATGGGGTGGAGGATGGGAGTGGTGGTGGTGGTAGTCAGGGAACAAAACCCACAGTTCGTCATAACAATAACTCGGGTCATTAAACATCAAACCTAAATATTTACGGTTCGACGAGAGAATTATATTTACACTGACACTAATCACAGGTTTTCAGCTCGTATCCAGGTTTAGTTTCATCTCATTAATCCTCAATCAGTAAATAATGATCGGCTTAATGTACCACATATACCAATAAAAACATATTATCTACATCTCCCTTTCCTGTAACATGAATGATATACACTTTATCATTTTGCCTTTCGTGGGTCATTTGGGTGAACAGTACAATGAGGTGCTTGATAACATCCCTCACGTCTATGACTCACTTAACATGTTGAAGTTTCAGAGATTTTTTTTTCTTCTTCACATTTGTTTGAGAGACTTCATGATATTTCAGGGATTTCTTAATTAATTTTAAGACATCCAGGAATATATTAAAAGTGGGTGGGAATGTCATTAGAGAAGGACCTGGGTGGTGTCATCGTCCTGAAATTCGTGAAAACTAAGGATCTTTTATGCATATTTCTCTCGGCATTAAGTCTGAACATAATAATAATAATAATTAATAATATTACTACTAATAATAATAATAACAACGTATTACTTTTAGAGTCTTTGTATTTAAATTTGTTTTTACGGTGTACTATTATATGACAATGCGGTTACAGTACTGAATGTGTTTATAATTGTTGTTTGCGTGTAATATTTGATATCTGCAGGTTTATGTACGTCTTTTTGTTATTAATGCAGTTTTATGTACGTCTTTTTGTTATTAATGCAGTATCATGTACGTATAAGCCTTTGTTAATACAGTTTGTGTAGTGTATTTCATTTCCTTGTTGATACATTTCTCCACTGCAGTATATGTATCTCTCCTTCTCTCCAAATAAGGTGCCGTAGAGGGCCGGGTATATAGTGAGGGAACGAGGACCACTGATACTCATAGGGTGATAAACGCTAGAGTAAGGGAGGGAGGGAGTACACTGAGCCATGGAACTGGGAGGGTAGGTATAAGGTAGGGTGATGGCCCCGGTCCTTGATAAAGTGGGTAACTTTAGATTGGGTTTCGTCAAATAGGACTCTGGTGGCCGGGAACCTCCTATAGAAATGTTGGGATAACATTGTAAGATTAGATTTTTTTTTTCCTTCGTCACAGGCAAGCAATGTCGAGATGATATATAGAGATGAGAATGGGAAGCAAGGGAGTATTTTTTTTTTTTTTTTCGTTGTATATATATTCTTTTCACTATTTTTTTTTTAGAAGAAGGGAAGGAATTTTGTTTTTCATTTTACTCTGTTTTTTCTTTGTGTTTTTTCTCATATTTTTGGGGGGCTAATTCACGAAGGTTTCAGTGTGTAATGTGGGTTTAGTTAGTGTAGAGAGTTTTGTTGTGTTAGGATAAATAATGTTAAAAAGATACAGTTGTTGATGTTTAGAGACACCTTCATGTAATCTCGTTTTCAAGAGGTGACAAGTGCCTGAGTTTGTGTGGCCTCCTGTCAACAAGTTTATGACCTCATTACATTTATTATCTTGTCTAATTAGGAAAATGTAATTATGAGGATGTCTTACCTGTTCACACTGTCCTCATTTCTCTACCAGTGTCAGGGTAATGTAATTAATAGTGCCTCCTCACCTGTTACGAGACACTGGAGCATACATCTGCCGGGATAACCTCAACACAGCGGCAAAACGTTATGAGAATGTACTGGATACTTCTACCGAGTGTCTACCACCACAGCGAGAGAATCTGTAATGATTTATCTACCAGACTGTGTGTGTGTGTGGGGGGCGTGTACAGTGTGTGTGTGTGGGAGGGGGTGTACAGTGTGTGTGTGTGTGTGTGTGTACAGTCATCAAACATTTGTATCACACGATATACTCATTGGCTTAGTTTCCAAACACTGTTTTTTCTTCTTTTTTTTTTTGCAATACTTATGAATATTTTTGATGATCCTCCTGGTGCTACACGTCTGCTGCAGCAGTATGTCCCTGTAGGTTAGTACCTGTCGATGTCCTCAGTGTTCATGTGGCCCACAGGCAAACAATAACCTGTTAGGCGAGGACCTACCTGTTAGGTGATGCAGCAGGAGAGTCAGCAACACTCTGCTGAGGAACACCATCATGAAGCTGACGACGTCCTGTGTGTTAGTAAAATATCCCTTTTCTCTCACTTTCTCAACCCTAGTAAGTTTGTGTTGTTAATCGTCAGAGAAACAGTCTTTCTTAGTTTTGCTCTTCCTCACAAAACATGTCTCAAAATCATGGAATGTTCAGCAAAATTGCCGCCTTTCCAACTTGTGACTGCGAGCGGTGCTGTGTTAAGAAAGTCGCTATGAGGAAATTGAGTTAACGCAACAATAAGTTTTCAGACGCAGAAGTTAACGGGTTAATCATTTTCTTACGTCCACCGACAATACTCACTCTTAGTAGAGTTCACAGGTCATATTACCTGTTGTAAGCCACTTTATTTCTTAAGATATAGATTGTCAACATTCTGCTGGAAATTTACTTCCTCAATACTTCACTCCTCTCAATCAATTCTGTTTTGGTCACAGCTGATACAAGTCTATAAAATTCACTGGTTATTCTGGTTACTTAAGTTAAATTCACAAGTACAGTAAATGAAAGAAAGATCTATAAACATTTAGTCCGCATAATACTTTACGTATAAAGTTTCCCAAGAATCTCTCATATAGTTTACTCTTAAGAGTACGTTATCTCTTCACCAAATTAAAACTTCATTAGATTTCTCCCATGTATGATTTTTTTTTCATTAGCTGGTGGCCACAAGGGCAGTAAGCCTTGAAGGGGGACCTGTCAACAGGTTTCTTGAGATGGAAGCCGAGGTGGCGTGGTGGTCAGCCCAGTGAGGAACAACACACGGAACACCACCTGCACGTCCGCCTCACACAGCGGCTGCCCACACACTAACTCCCGCCCTCCTACCAGTACCACTGAGTCACTGACTCACTCTTTCTGTCCAGTAGTTCACGAGACCTTTCTCTAAAGATGGTTTTACGCTCCTTGGTGCTTTCGCCCTATGAAAGTAAATCACTGCCCTAAGATATTTTATTGTATTGTTATTATATATATAGTCTTATCTGGTACTATATTGATCCGTCAGATACGGGTTTTCCTCCCATGAACGGAGAGTAGCTAACTCATTCTGATTCATTGACGATTGTGTTTCTTTCCCCCTGTAATAACGCTGTAACTGTTAATCATTATGACTGATTGTTTTCAAATTTTATTGATAGATTTCTGAAGTTTGTCCTTCAACGAGTCAGAGACATTTTTATTTCAATCACAACAAAGATCCATAAACCTTTCAATAATAACAACTGGTGTTTGATTTCTCGATAGGGCAACTAGTGTTCAACATGATGAAATGTTTGAGAGATAATCCGGAACTACCAAACAAATGCATTCTTGACTTTAAATACTTATATCATCATGGCTCAGTGAAGGTCAGTCAGAGACGCAACATCACAGGATCAGAGCTAATATGTAAGGTATATCATGGCGAGTTTTCTTTGCGTTAACCAACCTATTTCACGCTTTTCTTGACTGACCCCTTTTCTGCTGGGGCTGCCGAGTGTAAGGAAAATTATACCAGTAATGATATAATCCAGTTTTGGTAGCAAATCTAAACAAAAAACATAAATGATAGTAAAATTTACAGTATAAATGACCTATATCATCAGTGACACAATAAGAAGTTCATCGGTAAAAAGAACTCATTCACCAATACGGTATCATCTACATTCCTGGCCAGCCGGCGTCACTCACTCAGTATAATACATTACCAACCACACACTAACACAGCCACTGACCACTTTCTCCCTCACCAAATACACTCCTGGGGACAGTTTTTATACATGGAAATTTAATACTTTATTTAATATTTTAACACCCTCGCTCACCGCTTTATTAATATCCTAAGCATACACAGTTATAACCTTAAACTGTGGCGAGTGAATCAAAGAGTCTCCAGAACCTGTAAGATAAACTCTATACCTTACGAGTGATTATGTTTCTCATTGTATAGAATCGTATTGATGGAACTTTTCTTTTCTCTCACCCTGTCTCTGTTCTCTCTCTCTCTCTCTCTCTCTCTCTCTCTCTCTCTCACACAGCGTAGCAGGCGGCCCACCACACCCTGGTTGACTCAGTTAGGAGTGAGTGGAGAATGGTGTTTTGGGTAGGAAGGTTTTTCACTACCTCCTTATGTCTTCAGGTCTGAGTTTTCCTGTCGTCGAGGATATTTGTTGATCGTTAATACTGGTTAGAATTTTACAGTCACTTTCTGAAATGCTCGCAGACAAGGGCAGACATACAATTGAAGAAATGTTTAGATACTGCACCATTGCCAATGACTCAACATACATTTTACTTGTAGTCAGAATATATGCGATACAAAGCAGCTACTTTTATTATTACACAGTATATCCTCAGTACACACATACATGCGTGCATAGCTTTACATATAACTTACCTATAATATATTTCATCATGGATATATACACAACCGACTCACACGCACTTTACACACACTGACACACACGCATATACTCATACACACACACTCTAATTACACACACAACATACAAACTAATTCGATTTATACTCAGAAAAATAATCGCAACGTAAAATTTCAAAACAGCAATACTCCAATCAAGAATTTTAGATTAATTCTGGTCACAAATATTCGTTATAAATCATGTCAGACGGGATATACTAAGTCAGAAGCGGCTTTGAAATCTCCACCATGATGCACAGTTAAATCTCCTCACGCTTCTTATCACTGGGTTCAAGATTTCCATGCAGTATCCCAGCGCCACTTAGTGTGGGGTGAGTGGCAGTGGTTTCAGACGTCTCCCAGTAGTGCCGCTCACACACCCTCTATAATGGCAGCTGATCACGCCATTTAGCTTTTATTAAATCCCACTTTCTTTTGCTATAATCGCCTCAGGGTCATCCCGTGGATCATTTATTTACACACCAAGACTAAAGACGAACAGCAGATAAGTGTTGATCATTTCTGCACTAGACACAAGGGTTTGATCTGACCGATATATAATTTGTTCAATAGATCGCTTAAAGTTTTTTCCTGCTATTATAACACAGTTTCTCCCATCTTGTCAAGTGAATTGCTTCTCAAAATGAAGATAAAACGTTATTACACAAGAGAAAACTACAGTATGTTTCCCTTAGCGTCTGTTGTACGTGTCTTGTGTATTATATTTACGAGGAGGAGCAATGTTACGTTACTCTGTGCAGTTATTTTGCTAATTGTGGCGCTTGTCAATTTTTGCTGTGGTAATAAACTAAGTCAGATTTAGTTGGGTTGAGATATACTTTAAAATATTGTTAGGTAGTCTCTAGCCACCACCGTTACCTGTGATCTTGCCATGAACCCTGGGCTAGTGGCTGCTCGTAATGACGCTCTCATGTGGCAGGGCTTAACGCTTGCTAATCTCTCGTGTGCTGGAAGTGTCAACCCGACGAGAGACTTAAAGTGCAACATCTGAGAAATACAACGAACAGCACAGTTTAAAACATTTATTTATTTAACGATTATTTTAAAAACAGACGACATAAACGATCTTACCAAACCCATTTGTTAATATGTTTCTTAAAAATTGGTTTGTTCATTTATTATATCAAACAGTAATGACAATTGTATCTAGGTCGTGAGGCTTTTGCGGGTGAGTCAGCAGCCTACACAGTGTTTACAAGAACTGTCCTGATAGAGAAACTTTATATAAATTTCAAAAGACGATATTTTCTTCACACTTCATTATTTTTCTGTACGTGTTTGTGTAAGCGTTAGTGTGTGTATGTCTGTGTCTGTATGCGTGGGCGTAATACGTGTATGTCTATAGATGCACGCGCGTGTAGCCATGTTCGTGAGTGTGTTGTGCGACATTACCGGGAGAGCAAAAGAGGAGGCTGGCGTGATCACGGTCTATTAGGGCTGATGTGTGCTGTGGTAAAGAACCGTTCGTGACTCTCCATCCGCTCCAAAGTTTACGTTTTTCCCAACTTGTTTCGGATTACAGGAAACCTAAATACCCTTTGATCTCCTCTCGGTAAACAATCTTAAGTGAATATTTGTGAATCTTATGATGTGGCGACGATATAGGCATTCGTTTGTGACAGTCTTATATTGTTTTCTGAATAAGGGGAAATGGTGTTAAGAAGAGTGCTGGTGATAATTATGATAATGGTTGAGTATTAAATGAGCGCTATCCAGAGAGAGAGTATAATGGCCCTGGGAAGAACAAGGATAACTAATAATAATTAGGAAGAAGAAAAAAGGAAAAAGAAGGATGAAGGTAAAAAGAAAAAAGAAAGAAAATAAATAATTGAAATAAGAATAGAAAGAAGAGAAAATGTGAATAGAAGAAGAGAAGACTTTTAAGAAATAGAAATAAAAGAGAACTAGAAGAAAATGAGTCGAGTAGAAAAGAAGAAGAAGAAGAAGAAGAAAAAAAACGAGAAGAAAAAGAAATTGATCGAAGAAAATGGAGCCATATATTGATACACAATTGATTTCATCTAAATTATTAACTTGATGAGTTTGAGCCAATACAATTTAATACGGAATATTTTACATTGTATTTCTGGATGATAAAAGTATGTCCTAAAAAATATCGTATTTTTCGGTGATAAAATAACTTCCTAAAGATTAATACACAATAGTAATTTGAATACAATATTATCAATGTAAATCACAGGCCGATGACACTCGTTAACGGCATAAAAAAAAGATTATTTCTGACAGCGTATGTGTACATAGGTGTGATTGAGTGTGTACGTGTCTCCTGTGTGCACATATGTGTCTGAGAGTTGAAAATTCGTGTATATCTGTGTACGTATCAGCAGGTTTGGCAATAGGGATGTTTATAAATGTGTACATACATCATTTATAAACACGTTTGTATGTAAAAATGGCAAGAGTGCAGTTTCGACTCTGGGTACAGTGTGGTCGTGGTCACAGACGCACCACCCGCTTCACTATGCCTCCCTTGCCACCAAGCACAGTGTGTATGTAGATGAGGTGGGAGGGTATTGAGCAGTGTGTGAGGTAAACGTCAGGGGGAGGATGAGGAGGGGGAAGTGGTCAGGGAGAGGTGGTGTGAGTGAGGGAGAGGTGGGTGGTGATGAGGAGGGAGGTGGTGGTCAGGGAGAGGAGGGTGGTGATGAGGAGGGAGGAGGTGGTCAGGGAGAGGTGGGTGGTGATGAAGGAGGAGTGGTCAGGAGAGTGGGTGGTGATGAGGGGAGGTGGTGGTCAGGGAGAGGTGGGTGGTGATGAAGAGGGAGGAGGTGGTCAGGGAGAGGTGGGTGGTGATGAGGAGGGAGGTGGTGGTGGTCAGGGAGAGGAGGGTGGTGATGAGGGGGGAGGAAGAACCCAGGGAGAAAGTGGTGGTGATGAGGGTGGAAGAGGAGTAGGATAAGGCCAGGGAGGGTAATGGTGGTGATGAGGGAGGAGGTGGTGGTCAGGGAGAGGAGGGTGGTGATGAGGTGAGGAGGAAGAGCCCAGGGAGGATGAAAGTGGTTAGTTTTTTGTGCATTGAATGTTACAGAGTACAGGAGTGTGAGGCGGTATGTCTGGCCTCACACTTTGTTATTCACTTTTCCGTGAGAGGTATTCAAGTGCAAAAAAGTGGATACAGTCTTAATATGTCGGCTTTCTTGCCATTAAAGATAAAGTGTTGTGCCATTTCACACACAGTGTGCTTGGACCTGTCCCTAAAAGGTTCTATCTTCACACACTCGAGGACGAAGTGTTGGAGTGTGTGGCCATATGTCTGATCAACTTCTTGGTGTTAAGTGGAAACCTTTTATCTTGAAGGACTCTGTTACACAAAGTAGGAAGGAACATAGGGGTAATGGAGAGTGAAATTTAAGAAAAAAATATATATAGTTTT